CTATTTTATACTACTTCTGTGATATTACTACTACTTCTACTTCCTGTTATCGTCTTCGTCATCGTCTTTTTCACCAGTAGAAACAGTCGGTTGTTGATCACGTGACTCCCGTGATGCGAAAAAAGTGTTTCCATTGCAGTTTTGTGAAAAACATCAATTTCGATACGGCCGAAAAACCACCTCATCCTAGCACAAAAACATTTTGTCGAAAAACACATATTTTTTCGAAATTGACGTGTTTCCATTGAGCAAATTTATTTTCGAAATTCTAATTTGCGCATTTTCATGGTCAATAGAAACGCAGCTATAGATAAAACCATTATAAATTCATTAGGAGAAATATTTTCTGTACGAGTTGCCTGCGATTCAGCCATAGGCCTGTAGTGGGCGTACCAGGCACTGAAGATCCCTGTATTTAAAGACCAGAACGTCAGGTTTCAGGCAGCGCTGCTTTGCTTCTCCACCCGTGTGGACTCCAACCGAATGGATGGCCGAAATACCACCTCATCCTAGCGCAACAACATTTAGTTGAAAAACGTATATATATATATATATTTGAAATTGATGTGTTTCCATTGAGCAAATTTATTTTCTAAATTCTAATTTGCACATTTTCATGGTCATTGGAAACGCAGCTAATGTCGCTTTAAGATTTTGATCGCAGGTCTAAAAGTATTTCTCAATCTTTTAGGCACAAAACTAATTCCACAGGTTATGGTTTGCTTCCATTGTCACTTCCAAAAGTGACAACAAATTTCAAATAAAATGTCATTTTATTTCCACAATGATCTTTTCTGTTTCATAAAATACACAGACAATATGTAGAAAACTTGATCTAAAATACGGTGCAGAGCTCATGGATGTTTGTGAAACATTGACTAACCCCATGTTCATGTTTGGTCCACAGGCTCTGTAYAAGCTGTATAATGTAGCGGCCAACCACAGGCACCTGTACCACCACGCCTTCCCCGGGCCTCAGGTGGGCGAGGCAGCTGAGGAAGAGCGGGACAAAAAGAGAGACTGAGACAAAGACCGAGTCCAGCAGGGAGACATGTCCTCGGGGTGGACGAGGGAGGGACACTCGTACTCTGACCTGTAACCACTTGTATAATATTCATGCATCGATGAGGTCAGAAGCCCCTCCTCAGTGGGCGGAGTCTGCAGACACCTGTGTACAGATACTTCTCACTGCAGTCAGCTGTTTGCAGAATATCACACAGTTTCTCAGTCATCTGTTGCAGACAATTTTTTTCAAACTATATCCAAATGTGTAAAACTCCACATTCGTGACGATTGTTCTGTTCTTTGAAGTTTAGTGCTGTTTCTAACAAACATCAATGTCCTGTAGAATGTTGTGTGTTAAATAATGAAGCAGCAGCACCTGCATGGTAAATAATGTCTCATCTTCAAGCTCAGCTACTGTTTATTTAAAACATATTTTAATGGTTGTACAAGGTGCCATAAAATGTAGAATAATTTTGGCCACATGAACTCGATATGCTGCAGATTATTTATTTGTTTTGGGTGGGCTTATTTAAATCTCAGTGCGAGCAGCTCCATGTTGAAATGGTCAAAGATCACCCCACAGATCTCTCCGTCTCCAGCTTTGTAATTACGCAGTGGTTCTGTTGAGCTGTCGGGTCTTTGAGGTGGAGGGGGCGTGGCCAGCGGTTCTCTTGTTGTGCTTCTCACCGAACCTTTGGGTGAACCCATGGAATGTAGCCGTTTCTGTGGCGGCTGCGGGAGCAGAGCTGCAACGTTTGTGGGCGTGGCCACAGGGGGAAGAATCCTCACTCCAGAACTGTTTCATCATGTGGACACATGGAACCAGAATCATCGTGGACCTGAAGGAGTCGGCAGGTTTCTGGTGGAGGACTTAGCAGCGCTGCAGTCTTCCACATCAGTGACGCTTTCAAATATTTTACTCCACTTTCTGTCCAGGAGCCACTTCCTGTGGCGTGTTTTAGATTTCATCCATTCACTGGTCAGAAAAGGATTTGTTAACGTTGTGTAGCAAACTTTTGTTTTAGGGAAAAAGGGGGGAAATGACTGATTTCTTCTTTTCTCAACCTGTAAAATCCTCTGAAGGTGAAACAAACCAACGTTTCTGTCCTCTGCTTTGCTTCAAATCACTCAAAGGAAAAAAAATAAAGTTGGACCAAATTATTGAAATGAAGACTTTCTTACTTTTTTTAGAAACTTGGACAAGTCGAGAATATTTTCAACCAAATAGTTCTTTTTACACAAAGTCATTAATCTCATCTAAAAGAAGTGAAGTACCAGGAGTTAGCAACACACTGAAACTACTGGTTTTATTTAAATCATATCCACAGGTGTCAGTTTAAATCTGTTCACCTCCAGCACTCAGAAACATGTCTGTAAAACCAGTTAGTGTTGGTTGGTACCTTACAGCAGAGGTTCTCAAACGGGGGTCCCAGGACCCCCAGGGGTCTGTGAGTCCTGTCTTGGGGGTCCTCAGAAATGTTAATAGTTATAATTTGGTTTTAATTTTAAATAATACTTATGTGRGATAATGCACTAGTAAAAAAAAGACATAATAAACAAATAAAATAATAATATTACCATGGTATTTAGGGGTTAAAATAACAGTAAATTATTTTGCATTAACAAAATGGGGTTTATGAGGGGGTCCCTAGAATTTCTTTCAACCTTGTACCCAGACACAAAAAGTTTGAGAACCCCTGACTTACAGCTCACTGGAACTCCTGAAAGTTTAAAACAACTGTCATGTATATCTTTACTATGTGATTAAAAAAAAAACATATAAATTAGGGCTGCAACGATACAGAAAATTCACAGTTCGGTTCGATATTTTACTCTCACGGTTCGATGTTTTTTCGATACAAAAAAGAGAAATGTCC